CATCATGGTGTACCCATCTATATATGGCCAGTAATATGTATTACCACAAGGTCTGAAGGCTGAATGATGTGAAGAAATCGAAAAGTCAACATCACTAGAAACACAATTACAGCAGTTATGAGAATTATTTGAAGTCAGTCAGCAAGATGCCAACTGCTTTGCAAAGTACAAATATTACAGTTCACTGTAATGATTATACCCTATACAATATTTTTAGCCTTTTATTATTCAAAGTGTTGTTAGCAACAAGTGGTAGGCAGGATTACAGGTCTTTTTGCCCAACATCACATCAAACATAAGGAAACTATTATAGCCTTGGCCTTTGGCAGATAATATACCCACTAAACATCATAGGTCAGGTAAGGTAGCAAGGAACTGATAAATATATTGGGGTGTAAACTATCAGCTTTAATGCAAATGCTAAAATAATCACTTGCATACAATTTCTTTGACCAGATGCAAGTGGCACATTGGAGGCACCTGTATGTGAAATTTAAGGAGTTGACACAAATCTGAGAGATCCATGAAACATGATGCATTTTTCTTGTTAAATATCTAATTGTAAATGAATACATTTTAGGTGTTTTCCTTCCTTTACTATTAGTAGTTTTAGATTTGTTTTTTCTTTCACAAGTCTGAGAGGTACCTGCATACAAATATTAACACTAACCAGTTTTCAAAATGAAGTTAAAAATATTCCTTTTCCCACAAAAAAATTTAAGACACTATGAAATTACCAACTCTCAGATGGACTTGCAATAATAAGTACAAAATGAACAATTCCATGAGGTTCACCCCAGGTAAATAGTTATTCAATGACAGACATTAACCTGCACTGATCCATTACAATGATCTATGTAAATTACGCACATACAGCAGACAAATTTCTCAGCAAGTCTAAGTTACATATCTGTTACAATAGATCACATGAAAACTTTTTCCATAGAAACTAGCAGCGAACGACATATTTTGCCAACTGCACCTTGTCCTGAACTGTCGTTTAACAAGTCATGGTTGCAGTTAGGGGAAATGTTATTCATGCCAAAAATAAAATTACAGACCAAAAGCATAGTCTGTAATTGAGTGAAGAAATGGCTAGTCAAATATCAACAGAAATTAGATACATTTTAAATTATTCTTCTCAAATCAAAATATATGGTCAGAAATTCAACAGGATATGCTATGAATTTTTTGTATCCACATTTCCCTTGTGCTGGCTCATGTACAGAGATATAGTAGTACCGGTATGATCAAAAAGCAAGATTGCAGGTAGTCAACCATCTTTGACCAGATTGCAAAACTAATTGTCATGGACATGCATAATTTGAAGAGAAAAAAAAATGTCAATAACGATACATTTTGAAAAAAACAAGATGGCTGCCAGTTGGTAATTTTGAATTTGAACACAAAACAAATCATCATGGACATGCATCTCAACATATATATTTGTATCAAATTTGAACAAAAGCCAACAAATCATGTCCAATAAACCACATTTTCCAAAAAAACAAGATGACCCAGGTGATGCACGCCCTGAAAAAGACCAAATTATAATTCCCCATTCGAATGAAGGCAACACGCGAGTATGCTTTTTTTTTTCAATATTTTTATTTCAAATTAATCTTTTTCATACTTTTTCCAAGCATCCTTTCATACAAGGAATTGAACTCTCACAACTAATGTCCCTCTTGAAGAATTTTTTTCCTGTTTGAGTAAAATTAATGATCAAAAAG